CCGGTAACGTGTCTCGGGGTCTGTCATGCGTTTGCTCGTATAAAATATTGGTTTCTGCTCGCCTCGGTCGTCCTTGACGAGTACACTGCTGACTGCAATGGGCGAGACGGCGATGTAAAGATAGAGCGTGTCTCCGGGCTCGGGCTTAGCTAAGACGGGCGGAGTGGTGAGGTAAGTCTTCAGCTGACTGAAGGCCTCTTCGCATTTCTCGTCCCAGGTGAAGAGTTTATTTCCACGCAACAGCTCGTAAAATGTGAGGCACTTATCGGTTGATCGCGAGATAAAGCGGTTAAGGTCGGCGATTCGCCTCGTCAGTCGTTGGACTTCCCAACTGTTCTTGGGGCTAGGGAGATCGAGAATCACAGAAATTTTCTTGGGATTCGCCTCGATTCCTCGCTGCGTAACGATGTAGCCGAGGAATTCTCCTGAAGTGACACCGAAGGTACACTTTGTGGGGTTCAACTTTATTTCATACTCGTTTAAAGTTTTAAAGCATTCGCGCAGATGAGGAGGATGGTCGGCAGCACGGAACGACTTGACCAGCATGTCTTGATGTAAACCTCCATCGTCTTGCCGAGTTTATCGCCGAACATCTTGTTTACCAAACGCTGGTATGTCGCACCGACGTTCTTCAATCCGAATGGCATGACCTTGTAGCAGTATGTTCCTCTGTCGGTGATGAACGCGGTCTTCTCTCCGTCGTCCAGATGCATAGTGATTTGGTTGTACCCGGAGAAGGCGTCCATGAAGGTGAGGAGCTCGTTTCCTGTTGTCGACTCGACCAGTCGATCAATGTGCGGAAGGGGGAAGCTGTCCTTGGGACATGCTTTGTTCAAGTCCGTGAAGTTGACGCAGACGCGCCACTTCCCGTTCTTCTTCTTGACCACAACTAGGTTTGCCAGCCACTCGGGGTACCTTACCTCTGTGATTGATCCGGCTGCGAGCAGTCGCTCGACTTCCTCATTGACGGCTTTAGATCGTTCCGAGCCAAGCTTTTAACATTTCTGTCGGATGGGTTTGAAAGTAGGGTCGACGTTGAGCTCGTGAGATGTGATTTTTGGGTCAATCCCCTTCATGTCCGAGGTGGTCCCTGCGAAGGTCGATACGTTCTCTTTGAGGAAAGCGAGGATCGTTTCCTGCATCTCGTCAGAGATGTATGCCCCTATTCTCACGATCTTGCTGGGATCCTCGTCGTCGATCTGCCTCTCGAGGACTTCATCTTTTTGAGGGTATATCTTATGGATGGGTTTGGCGACAATGTTCACCCGGGGAGTCGGCTGTTGAGGCTTGACGTTGGCAATTAGGAGATCGCGTGCGGCCTGTTGGTCGCCCCGTAATGATTTGATTCGTCCGTCGTTTCCTGGAAACTTGACGCACTGATGGTATGTTGAAGAAATGGCTTTCATCGAGTGGAGCCACGGCGTGCAGAGTATGACGCGGTTGGGCGCATCCGTAGCGATGACAGAAGCGTGACCATTCGGGTTACTCCGCCAGTATAGACCGGGAGTCTGATGGTACTGATCATCTCTTCCGAGACTCCGTTGAACTCGGTCAGGGAGTGGTTAGACGGTTTTATGAGATGCAGGCCGGCTCCCATCTTCTCGAGGGTTTTGTGGAAGATGAGGTCGACCGAGCTACCGGTGTCGATTGGTACCTTGGTTACTTTACAGTCTCCGATACCCAACTCGACCAGTAAGGGATCGTTGTGCGGCATATGGACTCCAAGCGCGTCCTCTAGGGAGAATGTTATTGGGAGGTCGTTCTTCGGCACAGATGGCCATATCTGTGAAGTCTTTGCCTGACGTTGGTAGGCTTTGATAGACTGGACCGAGTCGCCGCATGGGGGTGAACCTCCCATGATAACGTTAGCTCGTTTACCCTCGAGTTGGGCACGTAGGTCGTAAGGCGAGTGTACGATAGTCGTTGGCTCGGACTTGGTCTATTTCCTTTGTTCGCATCGAGCTGCTGTCGCGGATCCTGGGTTTCTCATTTGCGAAGTTTGAAACGGAGGTCGGCGACCTTCGATTTCAGGTGGTCCCTCAAGTCTGTCCTGATAAGGGACGAGCTGGGTACGTCTAGAGCAGCGACCTCGTCTTCGGATTCGACGGACTCAAACGACATTGTCTCGGTTGTGACATTTCTTCGCTTTAGTTTACGCCGTAAGTCGGCCGAGCTTAAGCTATCCCGTTTTGTAGGCTGTTTGTTAAGGTGTGTACGCAGATCTTCTTGCGCAAGCTCGGGTTTGTGACTCGTTGCTGAGCTTGGGCGTGCGAGGATAACTTTGACTCTTTTTCAGTTTCTCGGCTGCTCCTCGTCGGCGGATGAGTCTTTTTTCTCTCGTGCTTTGGGGGCTTTTTCCTCGGCGTCCTTCTTTTGCTCGGGTCGCGGAGCCTTGGATTGAGACTTTCGACCCTTCTTGTCTTTGTTTTTGCTCCAGCTGTTCTCCTTCGGTTTGGTCTTGGGTGGTTCGATTTCGATCTTACCTCTGGCAACCGAGGAGATGAAATGCTCGTACAAGAACTTGCATTCCTTAGTGTCGTGCTTCTTACTCTTGTGGTAGGAACACTACTTCTCCTGTTTGTCGGGTTTCGATCCTGAGGCTTCGGATACGCCTTCTGGCTTTGGCTCGTCGTCCGTCTTGTCCTGGTGGTTCCATCCCTTTGCTCGGACTACGACCGTCGAGCCCGGGAGGTTATCTTTGTCGACCATGTAGACGAAGCTTTTCTTGTGGTTCGCTTTGTCACTTTGGGAGTGTTGACACGGCTCCAGACGGGAGTCGTTACTCTTTGACGACGCTTGCTTCGTAGCGTTTTGCTTACTGATGATTTCCTTGGTATCTTCTTCCATGCGGATGAAGTTGTTGGATCGAGCAATGGCATCTGAGAGAGATTTGGTCGGGTGACGATAGAGGTCATCTCGAAACTTGGAGTGTACGTACAATTTGTTCATGAGGGCGTCGACAACGATGCTATTTGGGACTTTGACCTTGGATACAATCCCTTTGAATTTTTCCATGAAGCTACGAAGGCTTTCCCCCCTGTGCTTGGGAGAGGTTCCAGAGGTCGGACGCGGTAGCTTCCTCACGTGTGAACATTATGTAGTTCTTCAAAAACACAGACGATAAGTCGTGAAAGCTGTCAACGGAGTTTTCTGGAAGACCGGTAAACCATGTGAGGGCCACGCCGGTTAGGCTTTCGACGAAGAGTTGGTAGTAGCCGGCGTCTTGTTTTTCGTCGGAGAAGTTCTGTCGCTGCATCGCGATGTTGAAGGACGTGATATGGGCCGTTGGGTCCGAGAGGCCGTCGTACGTCGGCAAGCGGATCTTGTCCATCTTGCAGAGTCTTACGCCGGTTATCTTTTGAGTGAACGAAGTCCGGAGGGTGTCTGCAAGGACGCTTTCGATGAGCGGAGCGGAAGTCGTGACGCCGTGAATCTTCGAGTTGATATCGAGGAGAGCTTGCTTGAGGGCAGCGATTTCTTGGATAGGTTGCAGATCTAGGCTGTTTCCACGTTGTACGGAGTCATCTTGGGGTCCGGTCGGCATGATGGGCTGGTTTGCCGGAGTAGAGGTAGGGTTTGTGTTGAAAAGAAATCGCCGAGCCGTGGAAAGGTGTCCTTCGGCACCGTCAGGGTTTTCGAGTATGGCGGCGATGGCCGTGAGATGCTCGTTCGTTGTCTTCTAGGATTTGTCTTAACGAGCAAGCCGCTCCATGACAGAGTCGACGAAGGTGGGAGCGTGTGGTATGGCGGCGCCTGAGGTCGGTGTTGCGGCATCTTCCTCGTCGCCGGAGGTTGAATCGTTACTTGGACTCATAACTTGTGTCGACGCTACTTTGTTATGTCCCACGGTGGGCGCCAACTGTTTGAACTGAATTTGGTCTGTTCATTGAATGAGTGACTGGACTCGTCTGTGGGTTATTTCAAATGCGTTTTCTTACTATTTAGAGTCGAAGTGTATTTTTATTAATGAGAGAGTTCGGTTACAAATGAGGAAATGAGAGGCGAGGCGGAGAGTTCAGCCGTGCCGTACAAGTCGGAAAGAAAGTACAAGAGTGAAAATCGTAACTCTAGCCGCCTTGTGAGTGAGAGTGATTTTGGGTGCCTTCCTTGTTGCCTCTTCTCTGCCTTTTATAGTAGGCGTGCCTTGACCTAGCGAGCTGATCGCAGATTCGGAAGCCTTTTACCAAATAGACCTTGATAGGCCCACTAAGATGAATGCTTTGCCTAAACGTCTTTAATTCGGTTATCACAGGGATTAACTGAGCTAAATTCGATTAACCGTTAATCATGAGAGAGCTACTTTGTCGGGCCTGAGCTCGTATGGACTGAACCTATTATTATATGGACCTGGTAAGAAAGAATATTCCACCACCTACGGTATAAACATCAAATATAGGTTTAAATAATTGTAAATGGTTAATTCACATAATTAATATATAAACTCTAAGACGGATTATATTTTCCTCTACCGTGTTTTGCTCTCTTAATTTTATTTATTTCCTTCGAGTTGCGTTTATTCAAAACAAAACCTAATTTAATTTAAAGTGTCACTTGATATACAATACTTTAAATACAAATCATTTAAGAAAGTTATTGATCTGTTGAGTGTAGTGCTATAACATCATTTCTGAGATTTAGATTCTTATAAAATGGCGAATCATTACAGTCTTACAGATTAACAAACGTAATCTTAACGAAACTAATTCTCAACACTTAAGAGTGAAAGATATGCATCAACAGTTCAGCACTTAAGTTCAAACGTATAGTACTAGAATCAGAAAGATGGATACGTTTTCGTAATGATTCAAACAGACTACCCAATTAATGTAACTACGACTCTTCAGTGTCTGCCACGTAAAGACTCATTACTATTGTCATTTATCTTGCAATTTTTATTTTTTGACAAAGGATTTTCAAATTAAGAAAAAGAGAAATCCATGTATCTAGTTATCCTGCTCTATAAATAGGCTATTGATCCAACACATAAAACTCACCCGAAGAAAAACTCCTATTCTTTTAGGCAAATTTCCTATCCGCCTTTTTTCTTTTATATCTCTCTTTGTGGGATCTCTCTATTTCACAACATGGCTCTGAACACGGTCTTCGTTGTTTGTATGCTTCTCCTTGCCGTCTATTTGCAAACCGCACTTGGTAAAAAATTCTTGGCCTGCAGATTACGAATAGTTTTCTTTTTATATATACATATCGCACCTATCTACAAGCATACAAATTTGATATGATCTTATCATATTATAGTCTGTTAATTCCTCGAAAAAATAAGGTATTTTTATTTTATTTTTGAATCGGAAACAAATCATATATAGATCACTTAGTGGAGGTTTATGTTATAGTTACTGTATACACATAAATAAGTACCATCAGCTTTTGATGTTAAAAAAATGTACCATTGGAATTAAATTTCTCTTGGTGTAACTTTGGAATTAATTTTGTAGGGCACGACGTCAAGTGCGAGAATCTAGACAAAGACACCTGCGCATTTGCGGTGTCGTCGACCGGAAAACGGTGCGTTTTGGAGCAGAGTATTAAGAGGAGTGGAATCGAGGTGTACACGTGTCGGTCATCGGAGATAGAAGCGGACAAGGTCACAAACATTATTGAATCAGACGAATGCATCAAAGCGTGTGGTCTAGACCGGAAATCGTTGGGTATATCTTCGGACGCATTATTGGAATCCCGGTTTACTCAGAAACTCTGCTCGGTTAAATGCTTAACCCAATGCCCTAACGTCGTCGATCTCTTTTTCAACCTTGCCGCTGGCGAAGGTATGGTGTTGTTAGTCAACTTCAGTTTTTTTAATTTACATCTTTTATCTAAATACATTTCGGTTTTATTTTATACTAGGTGTATATTTGCCAAAGCTATGTGAATCACAAGGACAATCAAGAAGAGCAATGTCGGAACTTAGGAGCTCGGGAACTGTGATGGACACTCTTGGACCGGTTGGACCGGTCAGGTTGGGCGAGATGGCACCAGAGCCAGCTACTTCAATGGACTACATGCCGTACGCTCCAGCACCAGAGCCAGCTACTTCAGTGGACCACATGTCCTACGTGCCGGCACCTGCATCGTATTAAGTAATGCAAGCAAGAATAGAGAGAAGACGTACTCTCATGAGACCCAAAGAGAATAATAAGGAACTTTATGTTTAGTTTTGATGGTTTTATTACATCGTTTAATGCTTGCTTATTATGTATTTCATAAAACACACCACGATGCATAACGAGACATCGAAAGTTCTGCACGGTTTGGTGAATCTATACTTAATACTATCATTTTGTATAATACTAATACTAGTAATGAGTTTGAGCTTATTGATACTAAGGTAATACTCAAAACAGATATATACAGTACCGCCCCAAACCCCAAGCAAGAGAATGGTTTTGTGGGCTTTTGTACAATATTAAGTATTACTACATACAAGTGAAAAAAAAAACTACATACAAGTATAGTGGTTGTCTTTTAGAATGAAGGAAGAAAGCAAGGTTGAATTACACAATTCTCTGAAATTTCATTACTTGCAATGAAAACACTGTACACAAAATTGAACAGGAAGCAAACTGAATTTATTAACATGAAAGAAGTTGCTTTTCTACTGTGTTTAAAGACATGAATAGAAAAAAAGCTATTAATCTAAAATCCTTATTCCATTCATTTACTGAGGACCAAAATGTAACACCCGTCACCTCTTACCTAGAGAACAACGTGTGTCATCCTCGACGCATCATAATATAACAATGTGACACCCGTCTCTCTCTCTCTAAGGATGACATGCCACCAATAATATCTCGTAACATAAATCTAGCGAGGTGCACACCCGCTACCCACTAACAGGCCAAAAACAACAACCACTCGAGATAGTACTCAGACACCGCCCGTAGACAATTTATCGATACCACCAGGCTACGGCTCAACCGGTCGACTATAGTTGGCCATAACCTCCAAACAATCCGGCATACATTAGCATCACCTCACTTTGTATCCGTCTCACACAATTCGGCATACAGTAGCACCACACGCTCTATATCCGTCTCACAAAATTTTAACTACAAATTTACATTAAGTGAACCAATTAATGTTGAACCATCTAAAACCCTTATTCTGTTTTAGCAAAGAGCCTAAATAACTAATAAAAGAGACACCAATCACCAATCAAACCCTAAATGACTTAAATCACACAGACGGAACATATTAGAAATAAAATATATTTATTTGAAATTGTAAACCGCGTACGAGAAGTTCGGAAATAGACACTCACCTTAGCAAATAGGAAAAGTGGTATCTATGAACTTCAGATGCTCAAATAGATCTCAAATCTGAAATCAGATCGAAATTTCAAGTCAGAACGCCATTTGAAAGGTCAAAATCGGGTGTGTATGGAAAAGTCAATCCGTTAGTCAAATGTCAACTTTGACTCAAACCGGTCAATCCTTGACCAGATTGAAATCGAATTGGACTAACAAGTTTTTTTAACCGGATTCGATTTCAATTGAACCAGATTCAAATCAACTACAAACCCTGTTTACTCCTAACCAAAATTCAATTGATTTTAACCGCCGGTTTACCTTAACCAAATCACAATTGGATTAAACTGGTCAACCCACCGGTTTACCGAGTTGGCCGAGTCACCGGTGACAGTCACCGGAGACGACGGCGGTCCGGCGGCGGAGTAGCGGCGACACGGTTGACCGACAGCGGTGACACGGCGGCAGCGACGCGGTTGTCTGGCGGCGGTGACACGGCGGTCCGGCGGCGACGCGGTGGACCAGCGGTGGCGTGTGAATCACACGCGCGCGGACGGAGAATCTTTGGCTGGCGCGTGCAGCTTCGTATGGGCTCTGATTGAGGCGTGGTCGGCGGTTACGGCTTCACCTCGACGAGTAGAACGCTGTGGTGGCCTTGCATGCGCATGATTCTCAAGGGTTAAAGAGATATAGACGATTTAGTAAACGAACAAAACTCACTTAACTTCATGGCGGTTTTCTGGCTTTTCAGGTGGATAATAACGGTGGTGACGAGTTCGACGTGGTCCTGACGTGCAGTGGTTCCGGTGGCGAGCTCCGGTAGTTGATATTAAAGAGAGGTTTTCCCATTTCTTCTTCTCTCTCTCTAGTTTTCTTTTGCTTGGAGAAAAAAATAATCTAATGGAGAGGTGACATAATATGAATAGAAAACATAATTAATAAATTACATTTTATTGGAGTTTCCTTATACAACATAAATCACATATCATAAACAAAAACGATATCCGATGCCGAAATTCAATGCTCTGATTAGGGGTGGACACAAGCCGAGTACTTAGTAATTTTGGTATACTTAGTACTCGGCTTTAGTTGTACGAATAATACATATTTTGACTTGAACTTGGTTGGTTAAAAACAAGTACTTGCAATTTCAAGTACTTGCAAACAAATTGACGGACTTGTAAGTTACTTAACTTATTTTATTACTTATAAATTACTTATAAATTCATTCATAATTATTGTTAAATTATTTTATAGTTCATTAGAATTTAAAGTTAATTATTATATAAATAATATGTAATTGTTTCTTGTATTTAAATCATTAAAAAAATATAATATATAAGAAAGAGAAAATTTCAAGATGCTTATATAAATATAAGTTTGATGTACTTATGAAAATGGAAATAGAAATGAATTATTTTACTATGATTTCAGAAAATATATCTTTGTTCATTAATAAACACAAATAACAAACGAAACAACATCAAGTAATTAATCTATTTAATATTTAATATTTAATTTTTATAAGTAATTTAAATAGATTACTTAATACTTAACTTGTTCATAATAAATACTAATTTTTAAAGATCATGTATCCATCAATTACCGAATAAGAGGCAAAAAATAAGTAACTATGGTCACCAATAAAATGTAATACATAAATTTTAATTAACTAATAAAATGGATAATAAATATTTAATAAACCAAGTAATATATAACAAATAATAGGAAAAGTAAAGGGAAAATTGCCAAATATGACTCAAAACTTGATTTGAAATGCAAAAGTAAACCCAAACTTGAATCAAATGCAAAAGTAACTTAAAAGGCTATTGAAATTACAACCAACTCCTTGTGAACAAACAAAAAACGCGAATTTTTTTTACGTTTCTAGCCCTCGTAAGTCGTCTGCCCAGACGACTTTCAAATAAGTCGT